TAGTAATTTGCATCTCCTAATTTATCAGATAAAGATTTAGTTATTCCAATAAGCATTGGGCCGCAATACTTAAGACGAGGAAGAATAAAAGCCTTTTTATAATTGAATCATTACATGTATTGGAATAAAACGTCTATTTCTACGTAAAGCGTTTGTCTTAGCATATGCCTTATTTAGCTGGGTTTTTAAATGCTCCTCAAAGGTCAGGTTCGAGTCAATGATGACTCCTAGTATCTTTAGAGAGTCTTTTATTTCCACAGGAGTATCGCCTAACCAAAGTTCGTACTTATATGTGTTTGTGCCGATGACAAGAGCTTGAGTTTTCACAGTATTTATTGATAGATGGTTTACTGCAACTCATTCTATAATAGCGTTAAGTTCCTTGTTAATGGTTTAATTTAAATGTATCCAGTTGTATCATCAGCATATAAGCGGAGAGACACAGTGGAGATGAAATCGTTCAAGTCATTGATAAAAATATTGAATAGGAGGGGTCCAGGTAAAGATCCTTGAGGTACATCAGCTGTGATTGGTTTCCACTCAGAAAAAATGTTGTCGAGTCGAACTCTTTGACGACGACCAAGCAAATAAGACTTGATAAGATTAATGGCATCTGTGTCAAACCCATAAGCTTTGGATGATCGTCGGAGTCCTCGAAAGTGGAATCCTTAGAACCAGCAACATTGACAAAATAGTCGTTCAAGGTCTCTGCGACAAGTTTGGAATCAGTTATTAAAACATTATTTTACATCAAATTGATTATATTTGTTGAACCAGATTTACAGTTGGGCAGTAAAGGTTTTATCTTTTCCAGAATTCACCTGGGTTCTTAGTGTTTGTAAAGGCCGTATAGCAAAAGGCTTTCATTTCCTGGCGTTAAGGAAGGGATCTAACTTTGTTCCGTTGTCTACGATAAGACTGCCAGGAGTCTGGCTTTGGGATTTTCTTGTACTGTTTAAAAAGGCGATTCCGTCGATTGGAATACTGAACTATGCAAAGCATAATCTTCTGAACAGTCAGAATACACAATAACTCTGTGAAAATTTTTTTGTTTAAAAGCTCTACCTAAAGTTGGCAAGTGAATTTAAAGCAAAAGCAAAACTTTTACCACATTTTGAAACTTTTTCGCTTTAGAACTTCGATTTTAAATAGGACAAGAAGGCAGCAGTTGTACAGAGCTGACATAACCTAACCCTAAGCAAAAAAATTACAATTAAAAACAACTTACAGCACTCTGACGAATTCTTGTACACTTTAAATTGACACTTCTCTGTAAAAAAAGGAAATCATCTTATTAATATTAACAAGTCAGAAAAAGGAAGTAGAGGGTAACCACACACTATGCTTTAAATTTATATCAATTAGTGGATACATGGGTAAGGTATCAAAAACAAAACAAAAAACCCTACAGGAGTTATTGACCAAGATCCTGTGATCTAATAGAGGGAGAAAGATGGAAAGTTTTACTTTCACTAATGAGACAAATAAGATGTTACAAAAGATAAGTTAAGATGCAAAACTCAGTGTTATTCATTATTCCAGTGGTATGGCTGTTATCCATTCTTCTGAAGTTTTCAAACCAAAATATTCATTTTCCCAATTACACCTGTCATGTATTCTTCAGTTTCAGTTTCCATCATCCCACTTTATGTAGTATGTTTTAACAAGATCACTGAAATCATAGTATGGCTGGTTATCAAGAAAAATACCTGGTACTTGCACACTCTGGTTTACTAAATTGTTGTCATTCTCGTAACGCGATGGTATACTCTGTACTGTGATCTGGTATGTTGCTCCATATCTGATTGTTTTGTGAAAGATCCAGGACAATATTTCCTTCTAAAAAGGAAACAACATACAATTTGATCTCGAATAATTTTATTTCAATAATTAATTTACTTAAAAGAAAGATATGGCTGTCAATTGTTAGCAAAACAGTGAGCCTCTAGATGGCATTGTTTAATGATGGTAATCAGTTCTAAATAGTAAATCATGTTCAGCAGAAGACTAAGACAGGACCCTTGTGGAACACCCCAACAAATCATAGAAATAAGTCTTCTTCTTAATTTCTGTCAAATACGTGTAGGTAATAACATGATTTCAAGGGCAATTTGCACAAGTTTTTCAAGACAACAAAATTGCACAACCCTGTAAAGCGAGCGCAATTTCTAGTCTTTGAAAAATTTATAAGTGCTTAATATACCAAATTACTTGAGATTATTTACAGATCGCATGTTGTTGACGATGTGCAACTCAGCAATTCCCAAGAAATAGTATATGTTACTTCTGGCAGTACGGGCTAATCTGTATGTATCGCTCAAGCTGCATTTTCTCTCTCTGATCAAGGTGAGCACTGCCTAGTTACGCCTGTGGATTAGGAAAAGGTCATTCCCGTTTACTTTCGCGGCAGCAGTTTGTTGCTGGTTGGTCAGCGGCTCTGGCTGGTTCTGCAACTCTCTGAACCGCTCTTCTCTCTCTCTGACCCAATGCCTGTGGTTGGCGATGCGCATTTCTGTCTCTCTGAGAAACTTTGCCATTTTGTTTGCATCTTTTTTAGTTTGTTCTAACTGCTGGTCCTGGTTTTAAGGCTCTGGTCAAAAAAAAGTTGAAGTCGATGCCTGGAACCCTCTACAAGCATCTACCAAGTTACTTGGATGATTTTGTGTGATTCAGGAACTTTACAGGTGACAGAACATTCTCCCAGCTGCTGGAAGACAACTCTGAGCAGTTTCCTCTACAACAATGGATCATTTATTGAAAAAAAGCGGCTCCTTCAGGAGCCGCTAAACACCAGAAAAAAAAAGACCAAAAAAGAATTCAAACTTACAGCCCTATTAATCTGACTAATGACCAGTCTGCGTAAGATGTGTATAAAATTTGTGGAACTGAGTTGAGAAAAAAAAACTCAAACAAAAGGGCGCCATATGAGAATGGTTACTTTGCAAAGTTTATCGCCAACGAAAGCATAATAATTCAGCAACAAAATCAAACTAAATCTAAATGAGTGAGAGTTTTGTAGAAAAAGAGAAGTATAGTAGCTTGATCCTCCTACAAAAGCTTTAATTAGATGTAAAAGAAGTCACCCACGCACCGCCAACACCCACACACAACCGACACTTCTCACTGATTGAAACGGAAACTAGTTAGAAATGCATCGGGTGACAGTTGGTCGACAGTCGGTAGACATTTTCCAATCCCGCATCCTACGGCTACCTTCTATTCCATCCCGCCATCCCGCTGCAATAAACATTTCCATCCCCATCCCACCTAGTTTAACCCAAGTTGCTCTATATCACTGTCCTTTCTAAACTGATGGACAAATTATAGCCTTTACGAGTCCTCTCATTATGGAGAAAGGCAAAGAGTCCTTAAGGCATATTTACCTGGCTTAAGGTTGTTTCTTGATTTGTTTATAGCTGCATCGACAAAACCTGGATCGCACTAGATCGGATCACGGATCAGATCACGGATTGGA